GTACAGGGTTCGATCCGATCTAGACCTGAATTTGAACTCTAGACGGTGAATATTGTAAAAATTTATAGCCTCAGCAAAACACAGTTTTTCAGAAACCCCAGGTTTCTAGAAATCCTATTTGTTTTTCAAAAGTTCTTCTCATCGGTTTTTAGTTTTAAATGATGCAGCTGTCTTTTCTGATGTATATGACCAACGTTTATTAATAAACAAAAAAGTTATCCTTTAACAATAAAACTCTATCTGTTTATACGCGCAATAACCTTGACTATATTCTATGCAATAACCTTGACTATGATCTTCTCCCTTATGGCACGGCTTTAGTATGTGACATAACAGCAGCACAAAACAGGTAATCGTTAAAAGAGACGTGCCTGAGCTTTCGATGAGCTTTTTTTTGTCCAGTTATGGTTTTTGTTAGTGATCTTACAGTTCTAATCTTTAATTTTACAAATTCCATCGAGAATCTTAATTCAATCCTATCTGGGATAATACATCGGATTTATTATATCTGATCAGCTCGATATTGCTGATAAAACGAAATAAGCTTGGCTGAAATATAAATAAAACGTGAGGCTGGAATTTTTAGACGAGATCAGATCAGGGTCGCCAGAATGTAATTTGAATCCATCCGATGCGGTAAAAGAAAGCCTATACGTACTCCCAGCGTTTTCGATATAACTTGGACAAGGTGGGAGAAGTTTTATTGAGTAACTCTAAAATCATGGTTATCGGGCTATAACCATAATTTTTTGCTATTTTCTACAAAAAAACAAAAAGATTTTGCAATGACTTGTTTCAATACATAAACGACATTGTTGAATGCCTTTTTATATGGTAACGACAGTTAAGCTTCCCTAATGAAAAGCTCATTAGCGCAAACGGACTTTTTATACGGGGAATAGAATCGGTCCAAATTCTTTTTCTGAAGAGCTTATTATGTGAATCGACGGGCAGCAAAGTATCTCTTGATTCAAATCCCTTTTCGCATTTTGGCGCGAATAGTGGCGCCACTTAAAACGCGCTACTATTCGCGCCAAAATGTGAAAAGTGGTTTGAATCAAGAGATACTTTGCTGCCCGTCGATTCACATAATAAAAAGTCGATTCTTCAGAATAAAATTTGGACCTATTCTGTTTCCCGTATAAAAAGTCGGTTTTGCGCTAATGAATGTTAGTTTTGCCTATATATTTGCCTTTTCAGTGTCGTGTTTTTCATTCATTTCCGTGCCAGATGTGACTTTGGCTAGAGCTACTGGTGGTAAAACTATGGGTTTGTTTTCTGCCCACACTTGTTTTGTTAATGATGGTAAGGATGAGGATGATTTGTTAATACAGGTGATCGAATCGTTTGTAAATGTAATCCAGTACTGAGACGAAAGTTGTTTGACGAAATACGGAGCCGAAGGTATTTTTTTTATTTTACATTCCGTCAGATTCCAGTTGGATAGAATTTGATGAAGACAGATATTACTGGGTGTTTTTAGTATCGGCAGGGTATCTCGGCAATTTGTTATCATTTCGAACTTACAGCTGGTTGTATCTGCTTCGTACCACTGGATAGTGGATGACATCTGAGCCGAAGTAGAAGGGTAAATTCGCCATTTGCACCCATTTTTGTTGGTGATAGAATGGGATGGTGGTCATCCTGTAGATTTGAAACTGAGTAAAGTCTTCCTGTGGTACAGCAAAGTAATTTTCGAATTCTAGCCGACCAAGTTCATTCTGATCTTTTGGTGTCTGATTGTTGATGGTATAAAATGTATTTTTTGTAGAATCAGTAGACTAATAATAAGAGAAATGGTTGGTATTGTTTCGGCATACTCACGAAACGTAATGTTGCCCCTAGCAATAACATCTCGAACAATAACCGAAGCATCCGACGAATCAATATAAGACAAAGTTAATCGATTAGAAATTATATCATTGATGGCTACATACAAAAAGGACTGTTGATGCTTGTCTTCTAATGTTGATAATCGTTGGTTGATATATTTGATAGCTGATGAGTGCTCGTTTACGATTTCTGTAGTAGCGTTCAACAGACTTTCTGTATTTTTCAGTTCTATTGCTTGCATGATTTATCCTTTTTCGTAGACTTCCATTTTAACTTCGCCTTGACGAATTTTTATTTCTGATTACGTTAGTCGATTTTCGTTTTCGGCGATTACTTTTTGTAATTGACCTAATTGAACGGTGTTTGCTGTTGAGAGTGCCAGTGCCGCGGTTCCGATGCCGATGATTTCTCCGATAAAACGTCGGTGTCGTGTTATACGAATACCTTTCGGATGCTGTTAATTTGTATTTTAATTCTCAAATCTTTGCATATGGCTGTAAACATCTCCGCTACAAACTGGGGTCCATTATCAGACAGAATATACTTGGGACATCCGTACCGGCAAATGACGTCATTCACGATAACAGTAGCCATATCTGTTGCTGTTGTTATTCGTAGAGGGAACATTTCCACCCATCGAGTAAGATAATCAACGACGACAAGTAAATATTGTTTTTGTCTTTGAGTAGAAGGAAAAGGCCTCATCAGGGCGATTCCAATAGTGTGCCATGGCTCGGTAACTAAATGAAGTTGCATGGGAGTTGATGAAGGATGATTAGAATATTTAAATTGCTGGCATGATGAACAGGCTTGAGCGTATTTATACATGTCTCTTCTCATTCCGGGCCAGTATAATCGAGTTAATAGACGGTAAAGTGTTTTATGAAGGCCAGAATGGCTCGATGAACATATATATAATTGATAATTTTCAATATTAACTTTGAACGTTGAATCTATATGTACTATATTCGGATATTTTTTCAAACCATGCTTTCATTTGAGAAGTCTGAATACATAAACATTCTAAATTACGATTTTCATTAACTTTAATCTGAACTGAATTGCTTAGGTTGTCATTTAAAATTTGATAAATCCATGTTTGTCATAATTCTGGATCACTTTGATTCCCAACTAAGTTAAATTTGATTTTTTGTTTAAAGTTATTTATATCTTTTCTTGTTAAAATAATATTAAATTTTTCATTTATTAATTTTCGATTATTATATGTTGAAGCATTTGCAGTGCTTAATGTTTTACATAAATCGTATGCTTGACTATTTTCTTCTAATTCTTTATTTCTGATAAATGAATAATTCTTGTAAATTTTCTCATCTATCGGATGAGTATGAGCTAAGTTTTTATTCTTCATAAAAATAATTTTATTAATTTCCGTATCATATTTTATTTTAAAATAAAATTGGCAATTTAATGGAGCTGATTCTTGATTTGGTTTTGATCCATCAGTTATATTTCTTCTTACATCACCGCAATGATGACATACATATTTTACATTTTCATATCGAAAACGATAATTAATTATATTAATTAGTAATTATTACACCAGTTTTTAAAATCTTGTTCAAAATGGTCCCAATTATCGAATTGCTTTGTAAAGAAAGAATCTTTATCTTGCTCCATTTTTCTGGTTGAAGAATTACGATGAAAGCGATAGAGCACTTAAATTTAAGTATAAGTATAATCGATTTTTTGTAATAGACTTTTCAATGATATAATATTATTTATTTATAGTATAAATGATATTAAATTGAATCGGTCCATTTGACTAAAAAAAAAATGATCAACGCAAGTCATTTGATTTGCAAAAGTATTAATAAAGCTCAACAGAGACAAAGATTAAAGTGAAGAGTTTATCTTAGTAGACGATATCATCTAGGATTGTGAGCTAATTGGCTTGATATATATTTTTCGATTTCCCATTTTAAAGCTAATTAAATAAGAACAAAAATGAAAAAGCTCTCATTTTACTATTAATCGACATGAAAAAACATACAATTAAGAGAGAACAAAATCGTCGACACCAGATAATTTTTATTCATCGTTTTGAAAATAATGAAGTCCAGCCATTTCCTTCAAAGCCAAAGAGAGGAAGCATCAGAAAGCCTTCTAAATTAGTTGATCTTTATTTAGATTAATTTTTTTTGTACTTGCGTAGCTGTAATACTTGATTTATACTTTATTTGAATTTAATAAAGAAATAATAAAGTAAAATTACTAAATCTTAAGGAATTTTATTTATAATAATAATTCAAGGTATATAAGACTATAATATAACTGAATATTTATTAGTTAATTCATTATATGTATCTGAGTGTACATAGCCAGTTGGCTATGTGTACACGAGTGTACATAACCACTTCCTTTAATTTAAGATAATTTGGAGATATAATAATCCAACTTTTTCTGTATAGAAACTAGATTTCTTAAAGGACACTAGTAAATCAACAACAGTAAGCTGATTCTAATAGTCCTCTAGCAGACTAGCAGAAAAAGACGAAGCTTTCTGTCTGTAAGGCTTCATTCATATATCACGTGTAAAACGTGTGACAATGTGCAACAGAACACAGTCATACACAGAATGGAAAGAAGTTTTTTCTCATATAATAGTTGCCATACCGAAGTTCAGTATTTTCGGTATCAGTATTTCGGTATGAATACCGATACCGGTGCATACCTAAGTACAGTGTTATTCAATCTACCAGAAAAAGAGAATATGAAACTGCCGTATAACAGAAAGAATATGTAAGGTGCTGACAATTCAAAAGATAAGCACAATTTTTTTTGATCATTAGATCGAGCTCATCGAGTTACCTAGAAAAGGCTGAAAAGTGGATTTTTAAAATATTGATTTTTTAAAAATGGGCAAAATTCAGCAAAATTTTCAAGAACAAGAAAAATTTGAGGGTTTATTGTCTTTCTAAAATTTTGATACTCTTTTTTCCTGATTTTACATACAAAATTGAATATTAAAAGTAATTCAGATAGTTTTAGAACCTTACTGGCCGACTGGAATCGCTGAAGACCTGGCAGAACGGTTGGAACCCCATCCGAACTTCTTGTAAACCTATCTAGTTTTTTTGGTTAGCAGTTAGGCAAGTTTTTTTTCTTTATTTAAGTCATCACACTTGTGGGAAAAAAGCATTCGTTCGTCAAGCTTTCTGTAGCACGCTTTCTTCGGCTAATTTGGCGATCGCGGGATGAGTGATCGACACACGAGTAGCAAATGCACTGCGCCAACCTTCAATCGAATTGATCGGGTGAGGAACGTCATTTACGACACGTTCATAAACATTCCATAAGTCGTGCTCAAACTGTGGCTTCGTTCGTCCGTTTCCTAAAAAGATGATTTTCTTTGAAGGACATACAGTTTTATAGCGTGGCAACATTTACCTCTTTTTTTCCTATCCTCGATCCACACTTTTTCGAAATATTCGACAAAACCATCAGCATCGTCGTCGAATTCTCCAGCAACCAAATCCAACCCTTTGACAAGTGGAAGAAAGGCTAGGGCAAGAAAATTTTTCACACTCCAGCAAAAATCCTCATCATCTTTATATTTCGTGGATAAGCCCCTTGTTTGGATTTGACGCCAAACGCATTGACCGAAGTGGAACAGACATCCTAAACGACGTGTTGATGATCAACAGGGGATATGCCTACAAATGATATTTTACCTTTGTGTAACACATTGGGGAACATTTCTTTAATCAATTTAATTGTACCTGTTTCGAAATCTGTCAAGATTGATTCCGGATCGAAATTGTCCTCGTCGAGAATTTTTTCGAAAAACTTGTTATAATCGGCAGCACTTTTGTCGATCAATAGACCATAAACGAGTGGAATCATGAGCGGCGTCATTAACGCGTGTAACGTGAATAATTGGTAAAAATCGTCCGGACACACCTAAATACAACATGTATTAGGAGATGAGATCGCTTTATTTATTTCTTACTTTGAACGTGCCATCAGCGAACCAATGTTTGAAACTTTTCAACACGGATAAATTGGTTTTCGTCGTGAAAATGATCATTTTGTCGTCCTCGTATAAGATGAAATCTTCGCCGCGATCTGTCATTTTCAAATTATCTGGTAATCGACTGTTTGGATCCAAAGGAGGTGCCATGCGTTGTCGACGAATAGTTCTCATCAGTACATCAGTTTGCGGCAGATTATCGGCTGCGCGTAAAGGAAATGATCGCAATACTGAATGGAGAATACTGCTTGATGGTTCGTCTGATGTTGCTGCTTGAGCCTTGATTTGATTATTAAGTTCAATAACTGGAGGTCCGTATTTGGTGCGTGAGAATGTGCAGTAGGTTGTGAGAGAAATAAATCCATAGGTATATTTGCGTGTCAGCGTGCTTTGTAAAGATAAGAGAGACAATTGAAGTGAGTTTTTTTTTTCTATAGATATATAGCCCAACATGTCTTCTAAATGTTTGGATCTAGGTGACTGTTTACTTTTGCATAGTTCGGCTTAGAAAACCGGATTTCCGAGAACACATCTGTCTCCTAACCTTAAGGTTTGGGAAACTGAAAAACACATGGAAACATAGGTAAGCGATCACGCTGAACCTTGCGGCAATATTTGTTTTCCGAAACACTTGCAAAAACCTAGTAAAAACCTATATTAGGTGAAATAACCCATTTTTGCCTATATGTGAGTAAAATTAAAAAATTCATAACCCAGCCAAGATCCATCCAAATTACGTCAGAATATCAAGATGTACTCTATTTTACCTGCTCTATATGTTTTTTTACTTGAGAATAGTACAAAACATTGCTGTACTCCGGAAGATTTCTAGAAAACCCTTTCAAAAACCAAAGTATTTTCTGTTGACCTTTATAGCTTTTATTGAGCTGCATCATATAGAGCAGGCAAAATAGAGTACACCTTTTCAACCCAGATTTTTGCGGAAAAGTTCGAAAAAAATGAAAGTTGTCCCAAAATCCTGAGACACATCAACCAAGTCAGCTTGTGATGCTGATTCCAAATATGACATTTGTGTTGCAAAAAATAATAAGTTGACGGTGACAATTGCAAAATACAAGTGAGTTTTCTTGTTTTTTGCTACCTGTTTCAAGAAAATTAATTTCTCAGCAACGGAACAATATTTTCCAAAACCGATACTAACCTTTTTTCCCACAAGTATGATGACTTAAATAAAGAAAAAAAACTTGCCTAACTGCTAACCAAAAAAACTAGATAGGTTTACAAGAAGTTCGGATGGGATTCCAACCGTTCTACCAGGTCTTCAGCGATTTCAGATGATATATGGTGTGAAATATATGGCTATCAATATTGGCGATTAACAGTTAAAAAGTCATGGTTTCTTCTTTTCTATTCATTAGTTATCGTTCTAAAGAAGCACAACTTTGATATTTTTATCCAAAAGAAAAATTGCATTCATTATAAAATTAATGTACATATGTGACAAATTCCCGGATTAAAAAGTTAAGAAATTTGAAGGTACCCTCTCTAGTTTTTAAGACAAATAGAAGTACATAAGTTGTATGCCATGAATTTTTTAAAATAGATGCCGCTTGGTTTTTGAGATATAGAGGTGTCAATATCACATCTTTAACCGTAGTATGCACATGATGATAAGCAGCAGCAGTGGCAATACCGGATATAGTATGTTTATACAATATTAATATCTCAATTATTCTGTTTTAAAGAAATTGGTTTTCTCGTAGGTGCCTTCATTTGCAATTCGTACGGATTAAGAGTGAAGTAGAGTTCGAATATGTTCAGCTTCATCCATTTCTTCTGTTGAACCTAAAAAGATATCTGTATCAGCTGTAGAAACTAATATCATCTAGAAGAGATGATGCTCCGCAAACGATACTGCCCGATCTGAGGACACGTTGAGCATTGCAGCTTGTGCGCCCTATTCAATAGTATCTGGCAGGTAGGCTGAATTCGCCGGCGGCGTCATTGTATTCTGCAAAACATGAATCTGAGATTTGTCGTTTCCTTCCGTACATGCGGTCTCTTACGGTTTCTGTTGTACTGCTCTAACAAATGTTGTACATAAGATATCAACAGTATATACTTACCGCTGCCGCATTAGTTTTTGGAGCTGAAATAAACAGGGCACAAAATAGTTCAGTTTTTCGATTTTTATGTTATAGAACATTTTCATCTTACTCAGTATGAATGAATAATTTTGTTGTTTTTAATTTCACTCATTTGATGAAATACATTGTTACCTGAAGAAAACCAATCTTGCTTGCCAAGTGACAGGGCTATACACTGTAAAAATAAAGTGTGCCCGGGGCACTGAATATACACATCATGTGAGACTGATTTTGCACACTGAAAACGGCTTATTCAGTGTGCCCGTAACATCCCGAGAATTGCACATACAGCTTCCACAGACAGAACAAGAAAAAAGACTGAAGAGAAGAAAATTCCTCCGTTTTTTTTTCCGCAGAGAAACGCAAGATAAAAATTCATATTACACAGTTGCACGTCACTTTGGACTCGAAATGCACACTTGTGAGAATGCACACTAGCGGGCATACTTTATTTTTTGCAGTTTACAAAAAACTTATTTTAGTGAAATGTTTTTCTCATTTTCAGCTTTCAAATGATGTAAGTTATTTTTATTAATTTTCGATGATTACTGGTGTTGAAAATTGTATTCCTTAGCCGTAATCGTACGCACAATTTTGTAATCTGAAAAATCTCAATCTGGATCTAAAGTCAACTGTACTTAATCGTTCAGTGCGATTTTTGCAGATGTTTTACAAATAAAGGGAAATATATATGAGAGTGAATCTAGATAAATAACCCAAAAAATGAGGTCGTTTTTGCTTGGGTATCGTTAATAACTGAAACTGATAACCAAATAGCTACAAAAACTGACTAAAAGAGTGACCAACTGCAGTGAATGGTACATTACATCATTACCGATTTACTCAGTTATAGCTAATGAATCAGTAGCTGATGGTCAAGGACTTTTTCATGGTGATTATCGTTGTGATTGTGAAACTAATAGATGCAAATGCAAAAAATTCAAGTTTCATGTAATTCTCGTTGCCATTTATCAAAATCATATAAAAATAAAGCTCGATGTGTTGTCTACATAATTTATTAGTTTATTATATTCTATGAGAAACTTCAACCGCACATATCCAAATTCATTTATTTCTTATATTCTATCTAACATGTATGTTTTGGTCGTACTACTTGTAAACTTTTCGGACCAAGTCCGTGTTTAGCAGAGTTGTACGAAAAAATGATAATACAAGTCATCACAGTACACGAATATACATATACAAAACTACAAAAAAGTTGTGACTAGAACACCTTCATTTTAAACATTGGAGGTATGAGTGTATAATTCTTAAAGGTAATATTTGTCTTTCTGAGTTGTATTATCCCAATAATTCGATTGTATTTTTTAAATTGTTTTTAAATTTTTAATGTTTTGTATTATACGCATGATTCTGAGATAAATAAAACCGTTTTCTGTCGCAAATTTTGTTACGAATCCCGTTGCAAAACGGAATTCTTTTTATAAGATCTTTTCTAGTCTTTATGTTAAACTATACGTACAGCAGCTTGAACTATGTATCTAAAAGATTCTCAGGCCATTCTGACAGAATTACAAGGTTTTTACATTACGGGAAAACAGAAAAAACAGAACATTGAAAGAAACACACATTGCCATTCTTCTAAATCAATGACTAATAACAAGAAATAGTACAACAGCTATCTGTGTTGTCTGTTCATTCTTTCTCTTCCCATTATCAACTCACTATTGACACATTATTACCCATCATCTTCATCATTTGAGCTAATTCGCGAGGCTGACGCTCGGTTAGAATGCTTGCATGCTTAACCGGATGTATAATGTGTTTGCCTTGTCCGACCAACTCGACAATTTCTTCATCGGTCATAGCACCCAGTTCGATCTCAATAAAACTGTACTGTTGACTGTACACTGCAATAGTCAAATTTTCGATTTTGGCGATGGTGGCAAAGATAAATTCTTGAAAACGATAATCGATATCGAATTGAAACTTCAACCGCTTGTCATGAATCAATTGCATGTAACGACGATGATAACCAATGAGACGTTGTGACCACCGGACAAGTGGACTGAACGTACCTGTCCAGTAGGCTTTCGGAAAAATGTCCGATGATGTTCGGGGCCAATGTATCCAGTAGCTGTTCGTCTCAACGATATTATCACAGAGAAGATCAGTCTCATCTTGCGCATACAGATCGAAAAGGCGTGTCATGTTGTGCACATCAAACCACTGAACGTCGTGTTCGACGACCCATACAGTAGTCAGAGAGAGTTGGTTGTACAGCCAAACCACGGCTCGATCCCAGGATGTGAATTGAATACTAGGTAATTTTTTCATGTAACTGACGCCAAACTCTTCCAGTGTGCGATTTGAGACAAACAAGAATCGGTGCGAGTATGAATGTGTACTTCGATTTGAACGCGGTCTAGCGTCAATGCGTGACGGAGAATTGATGTCAAAGACTTCATCCAACATAACATAGACATCGACACCAGCACAGAGGAGTGCACGAAAGTTTTTCCAGACGAATGGCAAAAGATTTTGGCTTACAATAATGACTAAATGACGGCGATTAGTGATATTGAATTGGATTTCTTGCGGACACTGAACCAGCATGCCATCATCGTCAAACAGATCGAAAGCATTGTCAGCATTGGTAACATCCGTACAGGACATCTCTTAGTATCTGACCATGTTTTGATCTCTTTCTTCCTATCTACTTTTCACCGACTCCCATTTATTCCTTGGACGTCTGAATTAACACCAACAAAGGGAATTTTTTTTATACCTAGAGAAAACACTGTTCATGATGTAGTGACAACAGCGGAGAGTATAATTATGATAAAAACTGCTGAGCGACAAAGTTGCTTGTGGCCTGTAATGAGATGCATACCAAGCTGAGATCCATCATTAGTAACGAGTGGCCCACAATAAATGGTTGTCTCAATATTTTTCTTCTATCTCTTACAAGTTTCACTGTCAAGGCTTGAACTCCTTGAACTTTAGTCGTCGTTTCATTCTCTACAAAAAACATATTGAACATTTTTTTATATATCATAGAAATAAAAGAATATAGGTGAAATATTGCGAAACTTCAGTTTCCGCTGCTTTCAAACTCAGTGAAAAGATATTTGTTTTGAACATGATGCTATGCAACAAACTAGAATCAAGACGTATTTTCTCGGGCCTCAAAGTGTCGTCTCTCTTTTCAAGTATCAAAGGTTGGTTTTAAGCGGTTTTTCCTACACAAAAGGTAATTTTACAACAGTCTTCGAAAAAAACGCAAGACCTCTCCGCCTTGTCACTGGAAAGGAAATGGAGCTATCGAAGATCTTCTGTTCGCCTGTAACAGATGGATTATTTTATTTCAATATAAGACAAACAAGACAGACCTCAAAATATTTGATTTTGGTCGATTTATAAACATTTTTCCGAAGTCCCACCAAAACTACAGTTCAGAAAACGCAGTTTTTGATAAAATCGATCTAAGCAGATACTTCTCTCGCCACTAATTGAGATTATAAAGACTTTTAAACCCAGACACTTGACAGAGGTTTTCAAGGACTACAAAACGGATCTTCTCTTATTCTGTATCGCAAAATATAAAGAACTAGAGTTGAAACATCGTCGTTCTTGGTCTGAAAGTAACGGAAATTGAAGCTTCGCAGTATTTCACCTCTATTCTTCTATTTTCTGCGATATATAAAAAAATGTTCAATATGTTTTTTGTAGAGAATGAAACGACGACTAAAGTTCAAGAAGTTCAAGTTACGGCAGTGAAACCTGTAAGATGTAAACGAAAACTACTGAGACCGTGAGCCACCCGTTACATTATACAAAACGAGCGCATTGCATATCTCATAAACATGAACGACTTTTGTCTCAAACAAAGGTGCTATGAGCTTTCACGCATACGACGTTCGATATGTATTTTGGTAGCAATCGACCTGTTTTAGAAAGAGGGAAAGTCTTCAAGAACTAAAACCATCTGTTCTTCTTATACAAGAAAACAGACAAAGAGTGATATCTCTAGTGCGCATCGGGACACGAGTGATAGTAGCGGAGTTCCCTTTTTCTGGTGTCCTGGTGCATCCCCTCTCCTGTTCATTTTTGCAGATGTGTTTAATGATTAATCTTATCGGAGATCACTAACGATAGTGTTGTCTTCCCGCCCAGTGAACTGTGCAAGCACAGAATGAAGGCAAGAGAGCAAGCGACAAGTATAATGCACCGATAAAAACGGCAGCGGCGTTGAATGTAACGACATAAATCGCGATAATAGAGCTTCAAAGATGTCATTTCTTCTCATTAACCGCGCTCCTTCGTCACTAGCACGGCGTGTACTTTCGTCTCATTTTCTTCTCTTTTGCTGGCGTGTGACTATGCTATTTACCTAAAGTATATTCGACACGCTACGCTTGTCAATAACTTTCTTTTTCTAGTTTTTATGAGTCACACTGTGAAAAAATTGACAAGGTCTTTCGTTCACATGGTTATCTCATGTGATGAAGTCGACAAGAAAGCTGAAGAAAAGAGTAAATCGATTCTAAAAGGCAAGATTTTCTGAGCGACCGGAGACAAATCATTTTGAGCTGTAAGATTTTTAACTACAAAACTGTAGAAAGAATTCTTTGCATAGAAATAAGCTATCGTTTCCGTATCTGATGCATCTTAACAGTTTAAAGAGGCTCATGTTGAATGAAATATGCAGGAATCAAGAGAAAAAGCTGTAGTAGAGATATTGCGCTCAAAAATTTTAACATTCTAATCAGCTCAGTATTCTGTAAACTTGGAAACAAAATTCACTAAGTCATATTCATTTACTGTACTACTGAATTTCTTTTTTTTTTCATAACAGCTGGGTGGATTCATGTAAAACATACCGCTATTACATCATTACTTCAGCGCGAGCGATCAAACCTATGTCATGTTACAGCTCTCGTGGATCTGAATCGATTTGTAAAAACCGCACAGCTCGCTGGGAGTAGCACCTTGTAAATAATCTTCATTTTGCTGTCTCAACAGAAAAATGCTATTTTCCAGTGGTTTTCATCCAACTTGCAAAGCTTCTTCCAGGTCTATTACCAAACAGAAATTTTCGGAAATGGTTTCAAAATAAAGAGCTTTCCCATCACTCTTTATCCTAAAAAAAATAAGTTTGGCCAATGTCAGGTTTTTGAGATACATGTCTGTGAAAACTCGGAGCATTCAAAACTCACTCAAAAGTTGTTCTAAGTGCTTTTCATAATTCCGTTCAATAATTTGCACGAAAAGGTTTGGCAGCGTTCTACGACCTTCGATGATCGAGAAACAGACTTTACAAGTGCAACCTTTGAAGGTAAGCGACGTTGCAAATTAGGTGAAAATAGCTGGGAAATGGTAAATTTTGCATGATGTCACTGGATAAGTAGCATGATGGTATCTCCGCTCTCGCATTAGATAGAGACGTGCTGTTTTCGTCAAAATTCAGCATTTTCCATGGTCTATTAGATGAGGTAGGAGGGTTTATTAGGTATTATGAAGAGATTTAAACATAGCCAACTGGTAGAACTTTTCAAAGACTACAAAACGGTCATCTCTCTTATTCTGTATCGCAAAATATAAAGAACTAGAGTTGAAACATCGTCTTTCTCAATTTGAAAGTAATAGAAATTGAAACTTCACAGTATGTGACCTATATTCTTTTATTTCTACGATATATAAAAATATTCAATGTGTTTTTTGTGAGTTCCTGAATGTTTGCCATCATAATGACTATTCAAATATAAGCTTCTCTTCATAAACACAATGGTTAATATATCGTCTCATAGTTACGTATTTGGTTATACAAATTATTGTATGCCTAAAGTCATTTTTTTGTTACAATCCTCTTTAAATAAATAACATCTTCTATCTATTCATCAGAGAAACCAGATTGCAGAAACCAGTTGTATGCTAACAAGAAAAGATGAAAAATTCAACTTCAATAGTGTAAAATGTCTATTTTCTACAACGACAACAACTGCGTTCTGAACGAGCAAATAGATCAGAGCAAAGCTTCCAAATTAGGAGAAAAAACACAACGCAGAAAAATGAACATAAGCTGTGTAGGAAATACTTATCAAATGAGAGATTCTCTATTAGTCTGAAGAAACAAACCTCGGACGAACTGGGGAAATTAATTTAATTTTCAGAAATCTGCGACCAGCAGTTCATCGGATAAAAAGAAACGAAAACAAGATGATGACACTGATGTTAGGTGAGTGAGTGTTCGCTTTTTATGAGAAGGAGTACGCCTTTTTGTTTTTTGGCAAGTAAAAAGAATTGCCACGAATTGCTTTTATTTTCTCTTTCTTCCTCTTTATACCAGTTCTACTACATCACCAACAAAATTTATTCAAAGAAACCAGAAAATACAGTTAGCAGCTGATAAGAAAATGAAAGTCAGTTTGAAGAAAGCGGAAGATGCACAACGTGTTGTAGCTTCCACAATTTCACAACGTGATACAGCGTCAGTGAATCAAATTCCAAAAAACAAAACAACAAAACGTGTAGCAAAAAAACATTAGACAAATTGGCCAACATTAGAACCTTGATTTTTATGGTTGTTTCTTCCTTAGAAGAGCTTGCGCGCTCTCTCTCACAAAACTCTTGATTTTTTGACTGAATGTGTCTCGCACTGTTTGTTTATTTGTGTTGTTATTTGTTGTCTCATGATTTTTTCTTTATGAATCATTTTTAGAGTAAGCATGTGAATACACTTACAGGTTTAGGTGTTAAACTATTCAGACGATATGTTAATGATACATTTGTGTTATTAGCAAATTCGATTTCACCATCCAACATTTGTGATATACTATCGTCATTACATCCATCTATCATATTTACTTTTGAACAAGAGAATTCAAATAAAATAGTATTTTTAGATATGATGGTTACACACAGCAATGATAAATTTTTAAACAGTTTAGCGAAAATCGACGTTCACTGGATTGCTTACAAGTGGGATTCCTAAGTTTCAGTTATGTATAAGAAAAATGCGGTTAGCACAATGGTTTATCGACCCATTAAAATTTGTAGTGACTACCAGGTTCTGCATGAAGAATTAGATTTTATTAGAAAACTAGCAAAACAAAACGGATATCCACTTGATTTTGTTGATAAAACTATAGGCAATCAACTAAACTAAATCGTTCGTTATCACGCAAAGATAACGAAAAGGAAGATAATAATATAGAAAATATAGTGTTCAAGTTACCATTTTACGATGAAATTAGCTATATGTACGGGAAAAGGGTTCGTGTAGTCGTTGAGAAACAGTCTCAAGTAAAACGAATTCGATTAGTCTATTCTACGGAAAATGTTATTGGTTACGGTTTTAGCACAAAAGATCGTATTCCATAACATCTTAAATCCGGATTGGTTTACGAGGCGAAATGCCCTTCTTGTTATGAGACGTACGTTGGTAAAGCGTTCAGATATATGATAACAAGAACTACTGAACATTTGAAAGATCAGGAGAAAATGGTAAACCCCCCCCATAATAGAAGCCTCCGGGGCTTCTAAACTGTCCAAGCGTTCAAAATTTTTAGAGAGGGCTTGTATTATGGGGGGCTACTATTACGACTTTTGTACAAAAATTTTCAGAAAAAAAGGAGATTTTGAATTTCGATGCTCTTGCCTTTCTAATCACGGTAATCTCAATTAATCTGAAAAAAATCTTTTTCGAGATAAAAAATGTAAATTTTATTCGTTTCCTTTTTTTACACTCGACACCACACAAGAACAACTGAAGTAAAAAAAACGCGTGTCGATCAAATGTGTCGTTTAAAAAATTCATTCGTTCGTTAATGAAACCAAAACAGACAAAAAGCAAAGTTGTTAAATTGTCATCTGGATCAGTGACTACCAAAATGCAAAATATTTCTCTACACGGGGTTATGACAAGAGTAAAAACACGAACCATGTCTTTCTAAACTGAAAGATATGTATTCGGATACCTTAATTGATACTATTGGCACCTGTTGTGAAGTTAGGGATAAGTATGAATCAAAATCTGCTATTGGAAGACATTTCAAAGACACAGGACATAAATTTAGATCCGAGGACTTCCGAATTCTTTTGCTTGAAAAGCACAAATACAGACTTTTATTGAAAGAATCGTTAGCCATATGAGCTATTGCTCCGGTGTTAAATGGTACAGATCGATCAGTTCCCTTATATGTCTATCCTGGAGGCGTAGATAGTTGGCGGTTATCAAAGAATGCAGTAGGTGTTGGTCAGCGTTTTTAACAATTACGCGTACTATTGTCAAGGCTCTCTACTCAATTTCCCCTAAACAGTTATATAACCAATATACTAGTGTTTTCTTTTCTCCATTTCAATTTTTTTAGTTTTCATTTTCTGTTACAGTTATTTGTATTGACTTGATAATGACCATAATAGGTTGAAATATTGTCACAACATAAAAGAATGTTGTCATTTCACATAGCTGCATTAACTATGTAATTTATCTTAAAGTTGTTGCCCATTTCAAAAGAAAACAATTTAATATTAACAAAAATATTAATTAATATTTTATTTCAGCTGTAGTATTTTCTGTTCTTCGGTTACACGGAAAACCAGTCTCAGTCGGGAGTAAATTTCGTTTAACACGACACCTTTTCTCATTCTTTTCAACTTTCAACTTCAAACTAACATCTCTTCTCTTCTCGTACATTCAGAGAGCGGAGAGTTTAACTATACAGTTCACATAATTAACTACAATCTCGTTTGTCGATATCAAAATATCTTTTTATTGCAAGATGTTATTTAGCCTTTTGTTATAAGTGTACATATTGCTTCGATGTACGATAACTGTCGTACTGCCCATTTCTGTTCATTCCTGCTTCTCCTCACCAACATCAATCTCCCCTATTACATCAATTCATTTATTGTATTACATTGTGATACATCAGATTTGATTTACGGAATTAGCAAGAGAAGAAGAACAGATTTTTTATAACTATTAAAGCAAAAAATGTTCTCCCAGTTAAGCAATGAATGAATTTTCTGAGACGGAAAGGTTGTTTAATATTCAGAGTAATTGTTAAAGGAAAAATATCCACTTTATAACACGAAATATGGGAATACTTCTCGTATGTGTATATTCATTCTGCAAACTAGTGGTATTTCGGGTGATCCTACTCTAAAGAAATCAAAAAAGAAGTACTAGTATAGAAATGGTCTGCGTAAAATGTTGAGAAAGTAAGAAATACCTTGTAGATGAAGGACGCTGTTTTTCATTGCATGTCCCATTTAGGATGAGAGCTCTCTCATCATCTGCTATGGTTTTATTCTATAGTAGGTATCTATTGATCAATAATCGGTGTCAGAACATTCAAGAAAATGGTACTGAATCGATTATACCTAGGGTGTACCAAAAATTCTGATCACGATGTTTAAAATTTTATAAAAAACAGTAAATATTGAATGGTTTATTATGGGAATATATAGTAAACCCCCCCCCGCGGGGGGGGGGGGGGGGGGGGGGGGGGGGGGGGGGGGGGGGGGGGGGGGGGGGGGGGGGGGGGGGGGGGGGGGGGGGGGGGGGGGGGGGGGGGGG